CGGCCCGCCCTCTCGGCCCCCGGCGTCGAGTTTGTTGTCGACTCCGAGGGTCGGTATCAGGCCTCCCTACGCTGGATCGCAAGGAGGACGGAAGCCTTAATGAAACACTTGCAGAGCAACAGCGTCAAGCTGTTACTGTCGAGCGTGAAGCAAGAGGAAGTAGTTATCTACTATGCAAAATTATACGGTGTGTCTGTGGTAGAGTGCTTGTCGTCGGAAGAAGTGGCCCTTATCTGTGAAATCACAGGAGTCTCAGCTTATGCGCCTTTTGGTGATAATGTGTATGGAGAAATCACCGAAGCCGCAGTGGCCACCTTTTGCCAGCCCTTGCTGCTCGGCTCAAAGAGATGTGTTCACATTGGCTTCACCAGCGTGTGTGCCTTTCAGCCCCACTGCCTAATTCTTTGCGGGCCGGTCGACGGTGTTAATAAGCAACACGCTGCTGCTTTACAAGGGGCATTTACAATGCTGCAGCAGCTATATAAAAGAGTTGATCAGAGGGAGGAACGCAAAGCAGAAGGTGAAAGCCAGAACAAAGCCGCAGATGTTTGCAGCTGGCATTCTTCAGCTGCTCAGATGCAACTCGTAATAGAAAATATTTCTTGTAACAGCAGTCAGGTTTCTGAACGACAACTGAAAACACACAGGGATGAAACAGGGAGACAAACTGTAGACCCTGACTTGCGGGGAAGTGAAAATCCAGGATGTGTGCAAACAAGTTTGCAAATACCCTCAAATCCCATCTCGTGCATCGAAGAATTGAACGTTGCCGCTGGAGGAGATGGCTCTTCAAGAGACGTACAGAAACCACATGCAAAATGCGAGCATCCGGGTGACGTGCACGAGAACTATAGAAGTGATTTACTTACGGACAGTCGAAAGAATTACAGGGCTGCTGTGTCAGCAGCACATAATGCTAATACAGTCACTGCATGTGAACGCCTAGATGTTGGCAAAGGTCTAAAGAAAGCAAGTTGCGCTATAGTTCCATTTAAACACAAAGAGAGTTGTGTAAGCATTGCACAGAATTATTCCAACTCCCTCATAGAAGCAGGATCAGTTTTGCCAGTAGGAGGTTACTTTGAAATCCTGTTGCATTATTATATTCAGTACTATGCAAAACAGTTTCAGCAGTCAGAGGTAGCTGTCGTATCTAATGTGGTTGCTGATGCTTTGCTAAGTATTCCCAAGTCCTTATACGGGACAACAGAACGAAACAGCTTTACCAAATTCTATCTCGAAGCCATAAACGCACTCAGAAAAAATCAGCCACTGCCTGTGAACGAAAAAGGCTTAGAATCAGTGTACTGCAAATACCAGTTAGTCATTTCAGTTCTTCATTGTGTTACAGAGCTTCTCTCCATAGATTTAATAATTGGTGTTAAGCGACCCCTGCAAACAATTGAGGATAATGACTCAGAAGATGACTTCTGAAATCATTAATAAAGAATGTTTTGATTATGTGTTTTCCTGTGTCTTCTTGCAAATGGATGTGTCTCAAAATTCAGTGCTAGAGACTAAAGGTTCTTTTTAGGCCCAGACACCTAACGTGCTTCGTTCCTCTTAGAAGAAAAGGAGGAAAAAGGCTGGCCAGCTGAGATTTGTCGACAGCTGGGCTGTCAACAGCACAACCTGGAAGTTTCAAACATGAGAAGGGGTAGCTGATTTCCACTGCAGAAGATCTGCAATGCCTTTTCCATCCACGTGCAGAGGATCCTGCGTACGTTCTAGCCAAGGGTGAACTTTGCCTCTTTTGGTTTGAGTATTTATGCGAGTTAGGTGTGATTAGTTTTCCTGGCACGTTAAAAGTTGCCAGTATGACATTAGCCACTGAACTTGCAAGTTGTAAGCAAGGGGTTCTTTTAGCCTTCATAATGGGCTGGATTGAAAGTTACTGTAAACAAAAATATTTTTGTATATATTTTGTATATATTATTGTATATATATATTTCCCATATATAATGGGAAAAATATAACTGCTGTTAGCCTGTTCAGCGCTGGGGCAGGCAGTGGTAGGCCACTGCGGTATATCCCAATGAAGAATTTTCTCGTTTGATAGGAGATGCAGCATTTTTGTGTTCCATTGAGTTCACTTCAGTCAAACTAGTAGAATTAAGAATAATTTCATATCGTGACTGGCTGGCGTGTGCCCTGGCGAACTAGTTTATGTGATGTTACTTGGTACAACTATTTATTTTAACTATCCTGGGTTCAGTTGTGGTGCTACTGTAAAAGGCTGTGTAATCGTGGGAAGAGTTTACACAGGCAATAATGCAGTTTTGTGTGAAAAACCTGAGACAAATGTTTCAGTTCAGACGTCGATCATTTGGGATTTCGTTCTGGGTTTTGTTTGTTTGTTTGTTCTTTTATTCTTTTTTTCCCCCCGCAGGGTTTTCACCCTAATATGATTTGCTTTAAGCTCAGTACCACCCGGATGTCGAGATACCTCCTTTTCTGCTGTGTCTTAAAAAATTCTGGTTTGGTGTGGGAGGTTTTGGGTAACTGAACAGCTGCAGCTGATAACGGTATCACATTGGTTCCCTGTGTGCCATTGCCGGTACTGTGTAATGCTTAGAATAACTGGATTTTTTTTTTTTTATGTGCTATTAAAGAAAATTTAGTGAGCATATTTAAAATCATAGGCACAAATCATATTTATCTGCTATACCTGAGATGATTACAACTAGAAATCAGATTTTTTTCCCATTAATTTATGCTGTTGCTTTCCCTTTTTCAGTTTCTTTGGAAGAGTCTGCCTACCAAAGTTGTTTCAGGTGCTTTGGCAGCAATGCTTCGTTTGACTACAACTTTCTGTTGAAAGTTTATATATATTCTTGGTAATAGAAAATATTGTCGTAATATTTTTTTTTCCTGACTAATACACTCCTACAGACATCTGCATATGAAAAACTGAAACTAGAGTGATTTCTTTAATGAAGGACTAGGGACAGTAATTCCTTTTTTTAGAATCGTTTTTGGTGGGTGCAGAGGTGGGGGAGAATTAAACACGGAGGAGAGGAAAGAAAATCACATTCTTGCTGTTACCACATGCTTTCGGTAGCTGCTTGATGTGACAGGTCCAGTATGAGCGAAGAGAAATCTCTGTTGTGGGAAGAGCTGGTGTTTCGGAGCTGCGTGCCCTGCTTGCCCGGATGGCCTCGGGGCCGCTCGGGAGCCATCAGCCCTGGCGCTTTAGCAGGCGCTTGGTTTTCTGCATTTTGACTTTGTAATGAGCTACCGAGACGGTTTTGCTCTTGCACAAGTTTCTGCATACTCTGTTCAAACTGCTGACCAGCTTGCTGGCCAAAGATTAATGATTTGCTTCGTGGTAGTCTAACAACTGCGGCGCAGAGCCCGTGAAGCCTGGCAGCAGTGGGGGTTGTCTGCAGAAGCTGCTTTTGTATTCTGAAGCTAGGTGTCCTCTAAATACAGGTAAAATAAAGAGATTACTGTATCATTTCACGTTATTTTATACCATTTGCACATCTGCACACTTTCAGATTTACTGCAGTTCCTCGAAAAAGGTTAAAACAAAAATATTTTATGTGAACGGCCTTCTGGCTGTTCGATTTAAGTTGTGTCATTCTTATCATTGAGAAGACGAAAGTCCAAAAATTTTATGATATACAAAACTCTTGTTCTGGTATGCCAGAGATACAAAGGAGAATTTAAAAATGACAGTTTTATAAAATTTCTTTTTCTGACTTGTTTCTGATGAAACCTCTCGAGCCTGGAGGCTCATTGAGTGAGGTGCTATATTCCATTGACTTCTCTGTCCTTTTATATTTTGTGAATGATCAGTTTTCCCTTTTGAACTACTGATTCCCTGTTTTGTGTGGAGAGCTGAGAACATGGCACGCCTTTCCCTCGGAGAGGAATGTCCCTTCTTTGTCCTGGACTGCTGGGCTGGATGCTTGTTCAGGACATGGCTGTTTGGTTTCCAGTCCTGGAGTCTAAGCGCATTACAAGATGTGCACTGGCTCAAGGAAAAAAAGGCATTAACTTAGTCTATTGGGGAGAAGAGCAGATTTACTTCTGGGTTCAGCTCCTCCTTATCTTTAGGAGTCTTCTCTAGTAATTAGCCTGGAAGCGTAATCACGACCTAATCTTAGAAGGTATTTTGGGATCGCTGCTGTCCCATCTACTCTTCAAGAGAAAGGCTGTCTGTAGCCCTGAGAAGCAGCGGCAGTCTGCGTTCTGGGCTGCGGCTCCGGTCCTGTCAGTGCCATTTCTTCTCTGCTGATGTTTCTGACCCGCTTCAGCAGCTGCCCCCCGATTGCAGAGGCTGTGGTTACCCAGTCACCCAACTCGGGCTGTTACTGCTCTTTGGTACCCAAGCCTCAGGTACGCAATTATTCATGACGTCTTGTAGCTATCCCAAATTTTAAAGCTATACATAAATGTTACTTGCCCTTTGGCAGGTGGCATGGGGACGGTTCTAAGAGCGATCTCTTGACATAGTGGCAGGGACAAAGGGGTTACCTGGGGCGGCTTGGAAGAATATGTGTACTCAGTCAAAACCACAGGGAGCGGTATGTTTGGGCATGCACTAAGGTTGTAAAAGCCTATGGGTTTTTCTTCTTGCACTGTCTCCCAGAATTATTTCTATTTTGTGCTATTATTCTATTATTTTTATATTTCTAAATACGGATTGGCCTCCACACAAAGTGAAAGTCAGGTGCAGGTGGGCACGTGTGTGGACTCAGGTCCAAACTCGAAATACGATGTGAAGTGCAGGGATACTGGTGGTAATAGCCTGAAATTAAAAGAATGGTTTTAGAAAAATCTTGACGTTTAACTCTCCTTTCTGCAGCCCCTAGCAAACGTATATTCCACCTCACATGAAATTCATCAGAATATTTCAAAGGCACTCACCCCAGCCACAAGGAGCACAGGTGTATTTTAAGCAAGGTAATCCCATTTGTCAGGTAGCAGATTCACACATACAGGCAGGTAGGTGGGGGTTTTTTAATTAAAAAAAACCCAACAGGTTTTAAGACGCATGTGTAGTAATGTATAGTGAGACTAGATTGAAACTGCATCCTGCACACAGCTGTTGAGAATGGGAGTAATCTTTTTACATGACAAGGACACACCGTTTTTATTAGTCGATTTGGGCGGGGGTCGAGTCTCAACAGACTTTTACCGGTGCTGGGACCGCACCGAGACAGCCTCTGTTCCCCAGCGCTCCTCCAGCTGCCTTTCCCCATTGCCTGACCCGGCAGCTGGCCGCCCAGCACCTTCCTCGGGCCCTTCTCGTTGATCTCCGGTGGCACCAGCTCCCCGTTTACCACACGGGTATGGCTTAACTTCTTTAGCGGAAGTTATGCAACCTAAATATGGCTTTATATTTTCATCCGTGCTGAGTTGATTACTGACCTTTAGCCTTTTGGGCAGCTATACAGAGAGCATGGCTAATAGGAACCAGTGGCAACAAAGAATATTATTCTGTTGTGTCACAAATCGGACACTACTGAATCACATTTGCAAGAGGGAGTAGGGGAATGCAATATTCTGTTTAGGAGCATAACTGTATAGTGGCATAACTCTGGTAATTTTATATTGTTTCTGTTATCTTTATAACAGTCATCTTCCAGAGTCTACAGGTGGGTGATTAATCATACCACGTGAGAAGATTAAGGAAGATTAAATTCTTCACTTGCATATATCTCCTGGACTTCACTAGAATTGTGTTCATCCGAGCCTGTACTTAATTTGCTTTTTGTTATGTAACAGATCTGCTATTAGCGGTAGAGACTTCAATTTTTTATTACTAAATTTATTTCTAGCTTGTTTAGGTTAACCTGTCCCCTTTTTTGGCAAGGTTCTTTTAAATCTCATGTTAAGAGAGAAACTTTTTCAATGTTCAGTTGCAAAAGTCTCTTTAGTTTAATTATCTTGAAATCTAAGAAACTTTTCTTTTGTCACCAGTAAAACCAAAGATTAAATACTATGCCATTTATCGCATTATTACTGTTAAGACTGAACAAATCAAGAGAGCAATGTCTGAATTTATAAACAGTAGCTTTGGAAACGTGTTGGCTGTAATTAACATGATTATAAATTTGCAGTAGCATTTTGTGTAAGGCACCATTTGTATTCTGTTAATCATAGAATAGAACCATAGAATCATTTAGGTTGGAAAAGACCTTTAAGATCATCGAGTCCAACCATAAACCGAACACTGCCAAGTCCACCACTAAACCATGTACCAAAATGCCACCTCTGCACGTCTTTTAAATACCTTCAGGGCTGGTGACTCAACCACTTCCCTGGGCAGCCTGTTGCAGTGCTTGACAACCCTTTCGGTGAAGAAATGTTTCCCAATATCCAATCTAAACCTCCCCTGGCGCAACTTGAGGCCATTCCCTCTCGTCCTTTCGCCAGTTACTTGGGAGAAGAGACCGACACCCACCTCGCTACAGCCTCCTTTCAGGTAGTTGTAGAGAGCAATAGATGTT